GGCATTCAAAATTTTAAAGTCGATTCAATGTGATTTACCATTACATAATGTAAAATTCTTCATTTTCAACATTTACAAATCACTTGACAATAAAATTGTTGTGTGATATTTGTATTTTTATTTCAAAAAAAATTTCGAAAAGGTAAATAACTGACGGAAACCTTTTTGGATTTTAAATACATATATATAAATTAGGTTTGCTTTTGCTTCGTGTTTATTTGAGTCGCATTTGGTAAATATTGTTTTATAAATAACAAAATAGACTAACAAATTACCCTTACCTTATAAAAATAGAAGAATATTTATCGGAATAAATAGATTATGTGTCACACACACACACCCTATTGAACTAATTAACACACACTTGATCAAATCGAAGTTTGGAAATAATTTGGCTAAAACGTTTTAGTGTATTGATCTTTCGTTATCGTATCTACTTATTGTACGCGCAGCAGTAAGTTGGGAAAACGAATGCGGTAGAAATATTTTTTATTGATAGAAAAGTCATTTAGGGGACTATAAAAATGTCGCAAAAGTTAACGTGTATGTTTTTCGGTTATATATGATATAGAAATCGCACTTTATTAAGTACTTCATGATATGAAGGTACATTTGGAAAGAAAAACCTGAAGAGTAGAAAGTGGTTGCGCTTTTCACCGCAGCGGGGTGCTTGTATCAGCAAATCAATAAGCTTCTGCGTACAGAATCAGAAATGTTGCTGAGATGGTGTTATTAGAAAATATTATTACTTATCTAGGATTTCTCTAGAAACTCTCCGATTAGTGTTGTTTGTCTTATCGTCTTTTGGTCTTGCATGTTATCCTAACATAAAGACCAACATTAACATCAAGAACAAGATCAACATCAAAACCAACACCGAAACTTACTAGCGAAAAATTCACACCTAAATTCTAATAATGCTACAAAATAGTATGAAATAGGGTTGCCAACCGTGCTGTAATATATATGTAGAATTGTACTATATTTCAGGTCTTCGTACTATATACTGTTGAAGAAATACTATACTGTACGCAAAAATACTATATTTTCAACGCCAAAATCTAACAAATAAACCCTTCATTTTAAAAATTAATTAACGCGCTTTTATGATAAATGATGGATTAATCGAAACAATAAAGTTCAAATCTGAAACCAAAAAAATGTTGGAATTTTTAGTAGTAAAATCCCCCAAAGAAATTTATGAAATTCAAAATAAGTTTTTGGTATTTATTGATAAATGTAGACTATCTTAATAAATGGTTTGATTTTGGTGAAAGCAATTGACAAAATCAAAAATTCAAATTTAAAATAGTTTCATTTAATGACTGTGAGACAATGTTAGAAATTCTAAATTTACAAGAAAAATTGAGTATCGAATCTTTGCAAAAGTAAAAGATTATAGTAACTTTACTGACAAAACTACATGTAACTCGCCAAGTTCATTTAAAGTAAATTAATTTCCACCACTTTGGCATTCACAGATAGGATTTTCGGTTATGGATTCAAATGGCGAAAAGAAAGAAACAGAAGTACAAGTCGGACGAAGGAAGTTGGCGAGCGGTCGCGCATGTACTTGCCCATTTATGACCTATTTGGGTAAGCCACTTGGAACCGATACACAAATAAGCTTTCAATAGGCGTAAATTATAGTATTAATACAGATACGACAGTAGCGTACTAGAAAATAATGTAGAAACATAACTTACCAAAAAGAAAAAATAAACCTATTGCTGTTGTTTTATAGTTAGTTTTCACATTCACTGTCATCATGGGAATCTCTATTACTGTCACCAACATTAGAAATTAGTTCTTCTGTTTGTATGTCCATTACTTGCTCACTTATCCCTATTTTTAAATATTTAATCTACACCCCTGATAGGAATACTGAAGAAAGAGGGCTGCAATCTTTATACCTAAAACTCCGTACTTTTGCCACCGCGCATCCACGCCTTTTTTAAAATTTCCGCCAGCTTCCAGCGTCAGGCCTGTAGTATCTTATTAATATAAAACGAACTTTTGGTTTACATTAATTTAAAAATTGAATATAACAAACCTTATGACACTATTATTGTAGACTGAAAATTGTTAAAAATGCAAGAAGTGCAAAAAAATAATAAAAATAAATAAGTTATAAACATATCTTTGTCTATTTTTTGCTTTTTCCATAAAATACTATATTTTTTTGAAGTGTACTATATTTTTCTATAGCTTATTTTGAAAAATACTCTATTTCGCCGAAGAAATGTTGGCAACCCTAGTATAAAATAACTCAATGAAAATTTTATGTGCGTAAATATAGACAAATTGCATTATAATTTTTTAAACATTAAACTGAAATTAATTTTCTATCCTTGACGGGTTACCCCAAATTAATGACAGCGGCCACAATTTTTTCTTATTTGTAGAGGATTGAAATTAATTTCACTTTAATGTTTAAAAAATTACTAAATATTAACCTCTTTAAAAAATGTTTCATTTATATGTATTGATCGGATGCATTATTATAAGAAATTAGGCGTAGGATTGCAATGGTTCCTTCGTAAAATAGAATTCAGAAAAATCTTTGAAGAATGTCTTGAAGTAAATACGAAAAATTAAATAGTTCATATTTTTTGTATTGACAATAGGCAAAGTGCCCCAAAATTTCTAGTTGTTATGAGATCGAAATTTGTGGAAAAACTCGTCTATTTACATTAACTCATCATGCTTGTTTAAAATGCACTGAAAGTGTGGATACCAACTTAACATTATTGTGAGATGTACGGAGCGTTCCAAAATTAATTTTTAATATGACTGATTAAAAATAAGAGAGAAAACAATTTCGTTCATTTTTGCGACTTTCTCTTTAAAGTAATCCAAATCTCCCAATGATAACGATAGATCTAAAATTGCAAGGTTACGAACTGTGTATGATATAAAATTTCCTAAAAAAGATTAAGACAAGAGCATACTGTTAAACGACAAGACCAAAACCAAGACATAATTTACCAGACCAAGATGACATTGGTCTTGTCTAACTAACTTTTTCTCATCCGTACTCTCCATAATCCAAAATCAATGGAGCAACCAGCCGCTTTTGTTAAAGTTAGTTAAGGACATAAAGCAAACAATAAAAAATAGTGTATGCAACATGTAACAGCTTTACAACCATTTCTTTTGAAATTAGAATTTTCGTTTTTACATCTACGTTCCGTCCTTAAAAAGTTATATTCTAATCGTGAAATATAATTTAAACTAGACAAGGAAAAATTGGTTACTATCAGCATCTGTTCTAATGGTTTATCTTTTTAAGATTTCACTATCTCTCTTGTCCTTGCAATCCACTATATCTAGAGTCGTGATCAGGCGATGGAACTTGCACGAAGCAAAACATTCACAATTTCAATTTTATAAAACCGGAGCAGATACTAGCCACGCGATTGGTTAAATTACGAAATATTTGCCGCGAAGCGTCGCAGAAATCTAATATGGTGCTTCTGCGTAACATTTTATACGTCATCAGTGCTTCATGCATTAGCCATCGCAAAATCAAGCCTGAGCACACCGTTGTTCATTACCAAGCAATCCAGTCTCCTCGTTCGTGTTTGGAAGAAGGTTTGTCCACGTGTTTTAGATTCAATTTATCGAATTCATTTATATTTCATAGAATAGATTTCATTTAATTGCAAATAATCAGTTTGAGTTTGCACTTCTGTATTTTATATGTGTTAGGGTAACTAATTTATTCAGTTAGTTTCTGAAATACATTATCCAATCATGATAAGCATGTATAAGAACTTTTGGTTATATTTTAGTCTTTCATGGGACTTCATTTTACAGTAATATGATCGAAGCTGTGGAAGTTGCACATTATGGAACTATGAAGCATCACCTTTACACCCGAGGATGAAGTATACGTAAAAGTTAATTTTTCTCCATTTGATACAAAGGCAGAATGCTACCGTTCCTACAGGAAAAATAGTGACAATGAATTGGTAAGAGCATCATTAATTAAAAGTAATCGATTGAAATTTTTATTAAATTATACCAGAAACTTCAGCTTCTTAAATACTTGTAACCTACACTCAACAACCATTAAGTATCATTTCAGCTGAATGAAAGTAGAACTACATTACGTAAATTATTATTCCTTTCACTTGAATCTAAATTTACAGCAAATAATAGTACCACCTTAATAATTTATTGTTTTACTTGCTTCTAACTGCATTTTTATTTAATTTCAAATCTTATTTATTTGATATTAAATTGTTTCCCTTGTCCTTTTCTACAGATTGGCCAATAAAAATGAGAGAAAATTGAAGCTAGTTTTGATGCTCCTGTACCAACCAATAGTGTAGTTTTATCTGGACTTGATTCATGAGTTGCTGCTACGACTTTACCATTCAAAATTATGTTTGAACTCCAATGACCGAAAAATTATCTGCAATGGAATAATAATAATGAATTGGTAAGTAGAAACAATAATTAATGATAATAGATTGAAATTTTCATTAAATTATTCCAAAAACGATAATCTCTTAAATATTTGTAACCTACTGTGCTTTAAGAATTATTCCACAAATGGATTTCATTTTACAGGAACATTGTAGAAACTACGGATGTCGTGTGTTTTGGAAGCATGAAACATCGTTCTTTTGCACTCCAGGATCTAAGAAGCACAAAAGTCATCTTTTCCCATTAAATACAGAAGTGGGATGCTGCTGCTGCTAAAAGAAGAGTATACGACAATGAATTGGTAAGTAACATCATCAATTAAATATATATAACCGATTCAGATTTTCATTAAAATATCCCGGAAACTTCAATCACTTAAATATTTGTAATCTACATTTAACAGCCATGTTTCAAGTATTATTTCAGAAACGTCAAGCAGTTCCGCAGAATTGAAGTAAAGCTATGTTCTTTCCAGCCTACACCAATTAATAATAAATTATTTTCATAAAATGTGTAATGTATATATTATTATCCCTTTCACTTGCATCTAAATTTACAGCAAAATAATGACACCACCTTAAAATTTTTAAATTTTACTCGTATAACTGCGGTTCTATTCAATTTCTAATCTCGTTTATTTGGTATTAATTGGATTACCTTGTCATTTTCTATAGATTGGCCAACAAAAATGAGAGAGAATTGAAGTTAGTTGTGATGCTCCTGAATCAACCAATAGTGCCGTTTTTCCTGGACTTGATTATTGAGTTCCTGCTGACGACTTCCCCATTCAACGTCATGTTTGAACCCCACTGACCGACAAATTATTTGCAATGGTATCGTTCGTCATAGATTTGGTTTGCTTTTTACACCTCTAAACTTTGGAATGTTACATTCTGCAGTGTATTAAGGTGAGAAAAATACATGGCCTAATTATTCATTGTTTCTTACAAATCTGTTACCACCCTATCTGTTTCAAGTTTCCTCGCGCGTGTTTGGAAGAAGGTTTATTCACCTGTTTTAGATTCAATTTATCAAATTCATTAATCTTATAGAATATATTTTATTTAATAACCAATAATCAGTTTGAGTTTGCACTTCTGCATTATATGTGGATTAGGGTAACTAAATTCAGTCGGTTAGTTTTTGAAGTGCATTATCCAATCATGATAAAGTATGTAGATATAAAAACGACTGGTAGTATTTTAGTTGGTCACTGGTCAATTTATCATTTCAGGAATGTCAAAAGCAATACAGCAGAATGAAAGTAGAACTACTTTACGTATATTATATTTCCTTTTACTAGCATCTAAATTTACAGCAAAATGGTACCACCTCAATAATGTATTGATTTATGTGCGTTTTTATTTAATTTCAAATCTTATTTATTATGTATTAATTCGTTTCCTTGTCCTTTTGCACAGATTGACTAACAAATGAGAGAGAATTGAATTTAATTTTGATCCTCCTGAAGCAACCGATGCTGTCGTTATTCCTGGACTTGATTCTTGAATTGCTGCTGACGTCTTCACCATTCAACGTTATCTTCGAACCCGACTGAACAACAAACTATCTGCAATAGTATCGTTCGTCACAGATTTGGTTTGCTTTTCACACCTCTAAACTTTGGAATGTTACAGTTAATTAAGGTGAGAAAAATACATGATTTAGTTTATATTAATGTTCCTTACTAATCTGTTACCACCCTATCTGTTTCAGATGGACGGTGGAGAAGACAAAGAAGATACCGCAGTTCTTTATCTTGCATGCTTTATCGAATAGAATAAATTCATTAGATTCAGTTTATTTAAATTAATATTTTATTTTGCATGTTTTTCATAATTCGTTTTATTTGAATTAACTTTTATTATGCATGCTTTTTTGTATGTAGTAATAGTGTTGTGTAGTGTAGTAGTAGCACTAACTCGTTTAGTAGTTGTAGTGTAGTCTAACATGTCTCTTGCTTACCTCTTCGCTTAGCTTACTGCATATTCTTACTAAATTGCTTTGCATTTACCCTACGAGTTCTACATGATTCAACGTTTCGTTATCGTGTGTGTTTCTTCTCACCCTTGTGGAATTAGGGAGGGCCTCCCCGAACGACTTCCCTTGGGCTTAGCTATTTAGTTGATCTTAAAAGTGTCTTATACACTTTTCGCGAGTCTACTCTAGCGTTACTTCCTTTCAGACAGGGTACAGTGGGTTATCTGGAATAGGAGCAATAGGCGACTGCCCAGCTTGCCTTGGCGAAATCTGTCCGATCTTCTCTACCAAA